CTGTCCTTCATAAACAGCAGTGCACCTGAGAGGACTGTATTAGGCACATCCTCTGTCCCTGACATCACAGAGTGCCAAACAATAGAAAAAACAACCTGAAAAGGAGCATTTAGAGCAGTCTAAGTAGTTTTTCATTCAAAAGGATTTCTTCTATACACAATAAAGGTATAATAAATACCTTTAACATAAATAATTAGGGCTGCAGCAAGTTCATCTTCATTATAAACAGCATAGTTTTTCCCCATAATGCACTGTGGTCAACAACCCAAAGTTATTTTTGGTACTCTTTAATTCACAAGTGCTCCAAAGTAGTATAATGAAACTGCTTGTTTTCTAAAATAAGTTGTAAAATCGAGTAATGATGTGAAGCAGGGACTGCAATGTTACTGTGAAACCAGAGACTAGTCATGAAGTGTATTCGACCTGTTGGCGGACAGCTTGTTGGAGATGAAACCACCGGGGATTTGAGTGACGATGTAGCCCCAGAAGAAGGAGCCATGGATCAGCCCCACCGTCTCTGGGTCCCAGTTAAACTGAGCTTTCTGCAAAGAGGGGAAAATGCAACAGGGAAGTTTTATAAATTAATCTTTTTATGAAAGACACATCACTGTCATTTTCTTAAAATTCAGTGGTGAACAATAATGCACCCGTACTCCATTCAAGAGATAAAGGGTTTTGCTGCGGTCTTGATCAATTTTCAGACGTGTTGATATGTTTCAGTTTGGTGCTTTGGAGTTTTTTCAATTATTATTGCTTCAGATCTGAAGCAAGATCTAACCCTAACCCTAATTAGGGTTAGGGTTAGATCTTGCAGTGTCTCGAGATACTGGCAATATCACAGACAAGCCCATAAAGGCATGATTCACATTGGTAAACAGCAGTTTTGTCAATGTTGTTAGGGGTGGAATGGAGAGCTACGGAGATCTTCTACCTGAAGCACCGGGGTCCCATTTATATAGACGGTGTTGTTGTTAACCATCTCCACGATGGCCACACCAAGATTGCATCGAATGCCGAAGGAGATGCAGAAGCCCAGGCCGCTGAGGATGGCGATGATATAACGCTTAGGCAGGCCGCCACAGCTGCAGTCCAGCAGCGGCGCGGGGCGTGGCGTTGATGCCACCGGTCTCCCATCCTCTGTCAGCTCAATATTCCCCTCTTCTTCCACATTACTGCCATCTATTTTCCTGCAGAGCCAAAATCAGTCAGAAGTTGTGTGTTCAAAATATGATCTTCAAAAAGATATTTCTTTATCTCCACAGTCTTCTTATAATTTTAGTGTCTCGTGGACTCGACACGATGGGAATCTTTTAAAGTTTAATTTGTTTGAGACGAGATTACACAGAAAGCGGCTTTGTGTGTGGAATTTCTCGGTAACTCATGTGATGACAAAAGTAGATCAGTAACAAAGCCACATCCTGCAGAGGAAAAAGGAGAAGAAAGCCAGCAAACTGCTTTTTTCAAATGCATCCCCCTCTGCTTGTTCCGCCACCCAGGATCCACCTTTTCAGTGCCCCCTCCTCTCATCTGCCTGCAGAAGATTTATTATTTAGTGCAGTTCTCCTCCAGCGAGAAACAACCAAGATTGTACGAATGTATGAGGCTGGAGATCTACATGTACTCACAAACTATAGGCCTATTTCACCACTATCTCAATGCTCTAAGATACATTAAAAAAAAATCTTAAAGGATTATATAAATTTATCACAAATAACAATGACAATATTATTAGTAAATATATATATCTATATTTAGAGATTTAGAGAAGTCCGTTGAGACCATTGATAATGAATGACTATTATTTATTAATAAATTTAAATAGATACAATCTATCTATCCTCACTGCTGTCTGTGTTTGTGATTGAGGAGCTACAGTGATGACAGCTGGTGTGTACAGTCACTGAGGAATATCTCAAGGAATAACATTTTTTAAAGTTTTGCCATATTGAAATATAATGAATTAGATGTGTTGTTTGCGACACTGCAAAATTGCATTTGAAGTCCTGAAATGAAAATGTTGCAAAAGCAAAAGGAAGTCATTATCAGGAAAACATGAAAGTACTCAAAAAATGTCCCCTCTGACTCATTCTACTTATAAATATTATACGAGCACGTTATTGTAACCATGCATTTATTTCAAAACTGAATTTTGGTGTTGCAGGTGGTTTTGGGTGGAGCTCAATTATATGACCAACTAAAACTAATTCTTATTATCTGTTTTATAACATGGATTAATATGTTCTATATTATTCACCAAACATTACTGCCATATATGGACTTCCACTTTTTAAAATTGTGTGGAGTCTGTCATGTATATCTTTTGTGGTTCTTTGCTTGTTTTTTTTTTTTAATTAAGACATTACTCAAACTAATTCAGATGTTTATCTCATTGTCACAGACTTAGATACTTTTGCATATTGTTGTGTGTCTAGAAATTTAGAATCTTTTTTTTTAAAAAGTGAAGAATTTCCCTTTTCCACAAGTTCATAATATCTGCCACTTTGACACAAGAAAAAAGAAATGTATTTAAATTTTCCTAAAATGCCTTTACTCTTCCTTATTCATGAAGATTCCTTCATCATACACAGACACACAGAGTCCTCTGTGAAATATGTATCAGATATGAAATATGCATTAATATCTTAAAATAAAATCTGTGATTACATCATCAACATTGCTTGAGAAGCAAAAGAATAAAATATTTATTTATCATCAGAATCTGGGGAGAACACGCCGGGCTTAATGTGCTCGCTCACAGTGTTGCATCCCTTTTACTGCAGATGCTTTATTCTTCTTATTTGAGCATTTTCACAAAGTCTCCACGGTTTCTTTATGCATGCAGTGCAGATTGCAGCTTATAAAGCATGCACAGACACTTCATGCCTTCTTCCCACCACTCGCCATTTAAACTCCACTCACCTTTGCAGTTTTCCCAGAGAGTCTCCCACTGTGTTCTTCACCTCTTCCTTCCCTGGTTTAAACACCTGCTCCTTCAACCCTGCTAAACCAAAAGGCATTGTTGTTCTCCGGGGGTTTTTCTCCTCACCTTTTATCCCAAAATAGATTCTTGATACCTCAAGAGGTACCCTTTGTTCTGATCAGGGACACAAAAATCCACTAAAAGCTGTTCCTCATTCCTTGAGTTTGTGGCACTGAGGATTGGCTCCACCTTTCAGTGGTACCAGGAGTCCCTCAGAGGTAAGAAGGAGTTTTGGTATGGGATACTAAAGTACTCATCAGTTACCAAAGCACCGTTTGGTCAGAGCATCTGGAACTTGTTTCATCTCTGAGAGATCCATCCAGGACTGACCAGAGAGGCAGGAAGCAAATGAAAGGGTAGAATCCAGTTTTTAGTTTCTAGGCATTGTGGTCTCTTTTTTGTCTGCAGCTGAACTGAATGAGCTGCTTAGATCTCCTCTCCATCTCATAACCTATCCATTCCTAATGAGGAGGGGCAGGTGCAGCTGGTTTTCAAAACCCAGCCCCTCGCTTTTACACATCATCATCTTCAACATCACCTCCCTGCGCCACCCCTTGAAGCTACTTGGGTTCATCTGATAGTAGGCCAGTGGACAAACTATTAAATATGAATGAGCTTGACATGTTGCACTGAGGAGAGACAGGAGTAACTGGACGTGTGTGGTGTAAAGTGGGAGTAGCTGAAACCTAAGACAGAGCCATCGAGGATCGGGTTTTATATCCTGTTCTCTGCCGGTTTTGTGCCTAAATTTAGTAGGAAAGGAAAGGAAAGGAAAGGAAAGGAAAGGAA